GTGCTGCAGTCTGATAGCTGTTTATACTGGAGAGTAATCAATCTATCAATTATTAATTTTCTTAATGGATCAGCATAAAGCAACAGAGACTCCACACTGATATTTGTTATAGTGGAAGAACTCATTCTTCAACTATGACGTTGTTGCCTCTGTGTTGACTGCTGCAGCTGTTTTTATCCATCTTGTTCCTCCAGATACCAAAAGGCATTCTGGGAATGTAGGAATCAACCCAGAAGGGGATGATCCCACACTTTGTGCCCCTTTGGGATGCAACTGGACATACTAATGCACATAAGAATAAAGGTCTTCTATCTGAAGGTGGGATCCTTCTTAAAGAGCCTGAGAGAAAGACACCGAATAAGCCAAAAGCTCTCACAAAGTCCTCTATTGTGAAAACCACCGCTGCCAGGTCCCAATTTTGGTGTGGCATGCGTCTGTGACCCAGATTCACCGAAAAAGTACTCATCACAAGACAAGAAGACCTGTAGATTCTCGCACTCACTCGTTAATTAACCCTTAACGTGGATCTTTTTGGGTGCATGCGAAACACGTGGGGTTGGGGGTCACCACCTGGTATGCTCGAAAGCCAAGCCCGTGCTTCTAAATGTGGATAAAATGCCAAATATAGCACAAGAAAAGTGTGAAGGAGAAGACTGCAAAGTTACTGCTGCTCAAGGACACCTCGGCCAGCTGCTGCTGACCGACCCAGCGAGGCCTGCTTCTGGGACAGGCCCCTTTTGTTTTCACTGAGATACCCCCCACTGATCCCTAACCCAACCAACCTGGGAGCTGACGTAGAGTTTCAGACACTCGTCACACACGGCCTTCCTGCAGCAGGGCAGGGGTGCGATGGTTTTCTCTTCCATGCACACCCGGCAACTCTGCATCGCACCCTCGGCGTCGGCCTGCTCCGCGGACAGCCGGTGGGACAAGTCCCCGAAAGGATCCACCAGGTCGTCCACTGTGTACGGTTGCGGCTGCCCAGTCTCCAAGTCCCGTTCTGACGCGTCTGCTGCGACCGTGTCATCGGAGCGGTCCGTGATTTCGGCATCTTTTCCATGGCTGTCGTTGGCAATGCAGTAAACGGTGCAGTAGACGTGCTCTTTGGCACTGACAGACCCCTCCGGAGTGGCCGTGCTGCCGCTGTTGTCACACGTATGATGGCGCTGACCTGTAACGGTTAACAATTCAACTGCCCGAACACCCAAACTCGGTAACTCGCTGGAGGTTTGTTCGTTTTCCACCTCGGCTTCGCCCGTTTCTACGTCCGACTTTGTAGACCCGCTACAATCAGGTACATAATCTTGAGTGTCGTTAACGTTTCCTTCGTGGTTTTCAAGCTCGGCTCCGCACTGCATCCGACTGCCTCTGTTTAGACGGAAAGAGGGAGATTTTGAATCCCCGAAATTCTTCCTCAGGATGTCGACAGCGCTCGCCCTCCTCCTCGCTCTCCCTCCGCCGTTGCAGTTGTTGTTGTTGTTGCCCTCCGCATCCTTCCCCCCCGGGTCCCTGTCGCTTTCGTCCAGCGATAGCCGAGAGTTTGACCTGGTGACACGTCGGCTCAAATCTCCGAGCGTCCGCTCAACTTTACCGTCCGTGAGGGAAGTTTGTGTCGGCAGGTTGCGGGACAATTTCACCCTCCCCTCCTCGATGCCGCTGATGAAACTCGGCATTTTACAGGCGTCAGCTATCGGGCCGTCATTTTCCATTCCCGATTTAGCTCTCCCCATTTAGAGAGCGGCTCTCTCCCATGCGTACCGCCGCCTGCTCGTCTGTCTGCCTCTCACCCAACTCCCACTACCAAAACAAAACAAAGCAGTCAGGTCGCTGCTTCCGGGTGTCGTCGTAAGCGTGCAGGAGAGCAGCGATAGGCCGATGGAAAGCCTAGTGGTGGAGATCGGAGAGAGCCTAACTCCCCTTTAATCTATGCCACCAAATAAAAACAGTGCTCCCGGTGCTAAGTGTGAGGAAGAGGAGCCAGAAGGGCTGGCCCACTGGCTATTTTGTTGTTTTTTTGTTTTTTGTGCTAGGCCTCTGTGTCAAACATAACGCCAGAATCGGCCCACTAAAGACTCCAATTTGGCCCACTGGATGGTTTAGAACAGCGGTCCCCAACCCCCGGGGGGACCGCTGTTTGGTACCGGGCCGCGAGAGTTGAGGCTCGGGTGTGACTTGGCTTTCAGGGTTTTTATCGGTTTTTAGCGTTTACTGTGTTTCCCACTGATAAAGACCTCCTCCATTAACATCCATAGTACACGAAGTAAAAAGTAAGTAATAGATAAACATTTAGTTCTTTTTTTTCCACTAGTTGAAATAAATTATTTTTACTGTAAAAAAAAAAGGACAGAAAAAAATCAGTTTTGCTCCCAATCCAGCCTACTGTACAGTTTTAGCAAATGTGAAGGAGTGCACAGATTTTGAACTTTTAACTGTATTTCATAGGTTTTACAGCTTTTCCTGATAAAGACTCGCCCATTGACATTCATACTACACCAAAGTACTTAACTAACAGATAAACAATTACAAGACAGTAAAGTTCCCGTGTTTCCATTACTACAGCGAGTCTACAGTTTAACAGAAACCTTATCTTTTATCGTTACAGGACAACCTGTGCAATGAACTGCCATAACCTTTTTTGTAATTTTACACATTTATCATTCAGTTTCACTTAAGATTAAAGCGGCCCTCTTATGCGGCCCATAGTGTAAAACAAGTGACATCCCTGCCCTCGTAGGTTCTTCAACCTGTCCTTGTAACGACTGCAGCTCTGCAGCTGTATCTTATAATGCACAGTTAAAATAATTAAATGAAAAAAAAAATCCATCACATTTCTTTGACGTTTCTGCATTAAATTAATATAAAATTACAGCCTTCTTTTATAACTATTGTTTGTAAATATAAAGAAAATGTTCAGTTTAATAAGTTTTGCTTGTAAAAAATCTGAACTATGATCACATTTAGCAAATACAATATTAAAACATTATAAATCGTGAGCATTTATTGTCTGAACAAGTTTCCATTTTGTCCCATCACGACAGAGAATTGGACCATAATTTAATTTATTCTTTCCTGCCACATTTCACCTTTTCATAAATGTTCATAAATGTAAAAAGCCATTAGTCTGTATTTTTACAGTAACTTCTGAACAATCCCAACCATTGAAGCATATAATCATCATTCTGGTAATGTAAAAATATTGACAGTCCTTCTACCCAAGGTTTGTGTTTTAATTCCTAATAATGTGTTTTTGTAATACAAAAAATACAGAAAATGAATGTATTTTCTTACTGTATCCCTCCCCCCCTAAGAGTCTAAGAGGTCTTTCCCATTCATTTCTGGGAAATTTTATTGAAGGAGAACAAAAACCTTCAGATTGCTGTGTATCTGCTGTGGCAATGTCCTTGAGCAAGATACTGCATCTTTGTTAGCTTCGTTTACGAGAAACTGAATACATCACTTTGTACTGCTTTGCAAATCATTATAACAACTCAGAGAAGAAAGAATCGAGCAATAGCACTTGTTGTAGACCACTTACTCTTCGTTGCATCACACTCACAGTTCTCCTCTTCATAAAAACCCAGCTCTGGTTTAATTTCATCAGGAAAAGTGAAGAATAAAAGCAGTTTGAATGGACACATTTTTAATGCAGTTGAACTTTCAAATGAATCTAAGTAGGGTACCTGTAAAATGGGTTGTTAGCTTTGTTACAACTTCTCATTAATGCCACAGGGCTGGGCTAATTAGTTTTCTTGTTCTGGTTGTGCCCAATTGGTTTTAATGGAGAATGCCAACAATGTTCAGAGAGGAAAAACAATCTTTACAAGTGCACGCTTATTACATAAGGCCTCAAACCCAATCAGGAAGGTGCTGTTTTACACAAAACAGGTCAAAAAGTAACTAGTGTGCAGGGTATAAAATAGTTTAACTACTTGCATTCTTCAGCATTTCTTCAGCCTTACAATTAACTGGCCTTGCTCACTCCGGGAATGTTTTCATTCCCACTTTTCAATATAAGTGGGTAGATGTGTCATTCCTTCCTTTAACATTGATTTGCAGTTGAAATGACTGTTGTAGTTTTTTGGAACATGAACAACAGCTTCCCAGCTTTGACTGCATGTGGGAGTTAAACAGGTGTAGTTGTTGATGACAGGGTGCACTGAATATTTCAGAATCTGCTGATCAGCTGCAGTTTTCCTACATAAGCATTGCTAGGGTTTACAGATAATGGTCGGAAAAAGATAAACTATCAAGTAAGCAAAAGGTCTCTGGGCAAAAATGTCTTCTTGATGCCAAAGGTCTTAGGAGAATAGACAGACTGCTATGAGCTCATATGAAGGCAAAAATAACCTAATTATCAATCATTATAATCGGAGTAAGCAGAAGAGCATCTCTGAATGAGCAACACACTGAACCTTGAAGCAGCAGAAGACCAAACTGGGCCAGCTATGAATAGAATACTAAT